ATTTGATTTTACATTCAAGTATCCCAAAGTGCTACAAAAAATCAAACATGGCCATTGAAGGTGCAAAACAGGCAGGTTTTTAGTCCTTTTTTGAAAGATTCAGCCGTCTGTGGTCTTAAATGTTGACATTTCATGAACTGCACAAATATAATGCAGTAAAATTGAAATGGAGTGACTCTCATTAGATTATATGCTGGATGTGTTTTGGACTTGTTTGGGTTTTCCCCTCGCCCTTTTCTAAAGTGCCCTGCAGATGATGTTTGTTGTGTACTGATTATAGAGAAATACAAAACTTTCTAAAGTTATGACTTTTTTTCCCCAAACCAATCTTGTTACAAAAATGCCTACCATTTAATAAAGTAAGTCAAACATTAAAACAGTGAATTGTGAATAAATGTGTGTTAAAGATTAAATAGGGTAGCTATAGGACGTTGGACACTTCTGCCCATTTTTGTTGCTCTCTTCATGTTGTTCACCCTGTTTCTTCTCTTCCTTGTCTGCGTGCTGCGTGACGTCACCAGAGACCTCCCCCCTAAGCTCCACTTTCTCCTCTTCCTCCTGCTGCTGGAGCTGGGAGTCAAGCCTGATTTAAAGGCGGAGCGCGCGCATGGTTCCAGTCGTGTCTGCGCTCCTCACCGTGCGTAAAGCGCCACCAGAACGCAACGAGTATGACAAAAAACAAAGTTACTTTCAGAAACGGACTAATGCTCACACAGGGTTATCTTTTAACCTCTTGCCTCTCTGCGTCGGAGCTTATAGGGCAAATAAATGCAGGTAATGTCGCGCCACGGACTTTTCACCTGAAAGCGTTTGAGTTTTATAAGAAAAACATTTAAATGCATGCTCTCTAACGCGTTTAATTTGCAACTTTTCTCATATTTTATACATATTTAATACAAATTTTAGGTGATTGGGTAAACGTAAATAATAAAGTGTAAAATTAAAAAACACGTAGAAACTAATTTAATGTTTTAAATGCAGCTTTAGAGCGTGCGTAAAGTTCAAAGACAATATTAAAGCTGATTCAAAGCATATTCAAATGTAAACTAAATAATAATTTAATCCATAATTCTGATACTTTGTTCCTTCTCTCCTCGGCGCGCGCAGGAGTCGGCCCAACGCGGCGCGCGCTGTATCCAACTCCCAACATTTTCTCCTCCCCAGATGTAAATAGTTGTATTTGCATGCGGCAGTGATTCATAAACATGTCAGCGTGCTGGAAATATATAGTGGGGGGGGGGGGGATATTAAAACTTTCTATTTAAATATCATGAATTATGGTCGCCCAAAAAATAAATAAATAAATAAAAATAAAAAATGTGTTCCCATTTAAGAGGAATGCGGAGTATTTTGGTGTCTGCTGCTGGAGCCCATTTGTCATCCGGACAATAAAGAGGGTTTTCGGCTGACAGTGGGAATTTATGGTTGCCCTTCTTTGCCCTAATAACTCACATATTGTGTCAGGGACTGACATCCCTTGCAGAAAACAGCAAGCCTGTTATCAATCACCCATCTTTGTATATTGTGAAATGCTCTCTTCTTTTTTTTAATTTTTATTTTTTTATTAATATTCCACCACAGAAAAAAGTGGAAACATTTTCTTTTTATGAATTGAACAGCTTTATTTGGACAAGATTTATTTTAATATAATCCTAAACATATTCATTTTAAATAATATGAATCTGTTTATTAGTTATTTTTTACAAAGCAGATCAATTTGGGCCTATGATTTATTTTTATCCAAAGCAGTTTTTTTCTCCCCTTTTGAGTTGTATTTGTTAATTAACTGGTGCGTAAAATCTTTATTTGCGCGCCTTCATCGCGTCATTCCATTTGTTAGAAAATTTTGGGCACTTAAAAAAATTTAGAAACATATTTTTGCCCCTTTTTTTAACTGCCCAATCCAGGTTTTCTTGCTCTCCAAGTCGACCTGTCAAACAGATTAGCACAGAAAAGAGATTAATGGCAGAGGCGGGCTGCAATAATAATCGTTTTGTTTGATGTGACAACTTTGATAGGCGTTGATTTACTTACAAACTGATAGGCTTTTAATTGAGCGCCTCCATCCCCGATTGAGATGAAAGGAAAACACACACGCACACGCACACACACGCACACACACCTACACACACACACACGCACAAAGAAAGCTGCCCGATTGCCCCGGAGCCTCAGTACTGATTAGCCATCTCAGCGGTGAATAGTTCAGGGCATCTGAAAGTTCTTTTCTCAGCCCTCCTGACACACCATTCCTCTTCTTTTCTTCTCCTCCTCCGCGCTCCTCTGCCTCTTCCAGAAAATAAATCATTTCCATTGTATGTAAATAAAATCGAGCTGGCATCAATACAAAATGTCTGGATTTCTTTGCCCCCCCATTCTTATCATTATTTGTTCCACGTCTTTGTTGTCCTTTCTGCACCATGACAGCTTTTTCTGACAACACAATGGACGGACTAAACATATGGCATTTTTTAGAGTTAATAATTATCTCTCCAGTTGGACCCCCCCCACCCCTCCACAAATAGATGTTTACCTAATAAACAATTTTTTTGACATAAATAATAATTCACCCATTTATCTCCGCTTAGCCTTCATTTTGAGCAACTTTCTCATGTAACCAGTGTGCTTCTTCTTTTTTTTATATTTTTTAATGTCTTTCCTCCAGGCTTCTTGTTAACACCATGATCGGCCGGTTATAGCAGGCGCACTTTTTAGCACCTTAAAGCAGCTCTTTGCACATGTGAAGCCTGCAAGTTGTTAAAGTTTCCTCACCAGCCCCTTGGAGGTGATTTATGGACAACTCAAAAAAAAAAAAAAAAAAAAAAAAAAAAAAGAAAAACTTCCAGGCTGTTTAATAATAAGAGTGCGCGTGAGCTTTAATCTATTTTGCCTCTTGAACTCAGAGGCAGGACGCGTCTAATCGATGTGAAGCTCCTGAAACCGCCTCGCACACAGTGTCTTGGTCCCCGTTTTGTTCCCCCCCCCCCTTCTTCTTCTTCTTCTTCATGCAACACTTGCATGTAATCAGCCACAATGGCTGACATAAATCAAGCGGCGGATTGACAGCGTCTGACAAACACCTGATTGATTGCGGCGCAGCAGAATTGACACTTGACGGAGGGGTGGAGATGGAAATAGAAGGGCGGTGTGTATTATACAGAAAACATGTGACACTCGCATCCCTCCATCACTGCATTGGTCTGTTCCTGTCAACGCTTGTCTGTTTAGGGAATTCGAGCTGAACTGGTTGGTTTTATGGTTGCCAGTGGAGAATGCGCATCACCGCTGGAAATGCTCGTGGAAACTGACACAACAGCTGACTTTTATGAGGAAAATGACGGGCAATTGTCACGTGGATTTACTTAAAAGTTACTACAATTAATTTTAAATACACTCGGCTCCAAATTCAATTTTATTTTATTTTTTAAATGGTTAATGTCTCATGTGCCCCGATAGTTTGTTTACCTAAAAAAAGCAGCCAAAGTGACAACAATGGAGACGTCCATGGAAAAACCATTAAGATACCAGTGTTGAAGTGTTATTTAGCCTCACGTTTATCGAGTTAAGTACACAAACAAAAAGATAGGTTTGGTTAAAATGGTAAAGTCGAGATGAAGATTCGCAAAAGCCTCTTGTGTATGAATGTGAAGCTCTCGTGTTTATAAATCTCCAATATTTATTCGTGTTTTTCACATTCTTTTTTATTTTCTGTTGAGTTTAGTTGCAGATTCATTCTGGTATTTCCACATAAAAGTCTTCTTCTCATGTAGGTCAACAACATGACTCAAACTTCCACCAGTAGAGTGCTTTGTTTACATTGAGTGTGTACCCGCAATTCTATATTGCATATGAACATTTTTGAGAGAGAAAAAATGGAGTAAATGCTTTCAAACTGTGCCATTTCATAAAGTTCTTGTTAAACTTTTTAATGCTCCATTTCATATTTAGTAATATATTTAAACTTTGAAAAATATGAGCAAATGAACGCAAGACTAGATGAATATGTGTTGTAGTGATTTCACAGTCATTCGTTTGACTTTTCTAGTTTTAAAACAGGAGAAATTCTCTTGTTTGGCTTCTTTAAGATCCCAGAGCATAACGGGTGCGAGCGTTCACACCAACCCAAGTATTAATTTCCTATCTCCTCCCCCCCGGAGCTGTCAAAATAGAGGCGCTTACAAAGAGGAGAACGTCACATCCCCTTGACCCTCCAATCACCTCAGGGTCCCATTTGATTGGAAGGCGGCAACGGCTTTAATCTCGGACTAATTCAGCTGCTTTTGAAGTGAAAACTCCAACCAGTTCGTGCTTCGGGAGGACAGAGCGAGGACCTGCACACAGACGGCGCAGCGCGAACGGTGCGAGACGCAGCCACGGATCTGCGATAAGGCTCCCACGGTCTCCACTTCCTGCAGCCGCGCCTTCTCCTACCAGGATTACACAATAACAATATTATTATTGAGGCAAAAAAAAAAAAAAAACACTTTCCTTCCTCCTTCTCGACTGAGAGACTCGGTGATTTTTTCTTTTTTTTTTTTTTTTAAATCTTTTTGGTTTTCTTAATGAATCTGATAAGAGCATCGTCCCTTCATTTCCTGACAATTGGGACATGATCACGTCGCCCTCGGCATCTGCCCTGAAAAATAGTGATATTTGTCTCGCGTGGGAAAGCGGCAGCTCTCGGAATAGCAGCTCGGTGAGCATCAACAAGCCTTTTCTTCACCCCGTCCCTCCGTCTGATCCACTACGGCAAGCGAACCGACTTCCCATCAAGGTTTTGAAAATGCTCACCGCACGATCGGGACACATTTTGCACCCGGAGTACCTGCAGCCTTTGCCTTCCACCCCGGTCAGTCCCATAGAGGTAAGGGGGAGCGTCTGTTTGTTGTTTTATTTGAACGCATTATTTTTGTTCATTTTTAATTTTTTTTAATCTCAACTGTGGTTTAGGTATCTAAAATACAAATAAAACTAGCATAAATGTTTGTGTTTTGTTAAAAGACAGTTATACAGCCAGAAAAGCCGTGCGTAAAAGCAGTAAAATTATGTGCGTAAAAGCCAAAAAAAAACATCCCCAGAAACAGCCGCCTCCCGCCTCCTTTGTGATTGTTAAGGAAGAAAACCGTCTCTATTTATTTCTTGATGTTTACTGAAACATTTCATCTTTGTTTTTTATAGCTTGATGCCAAGAAAAGTCCGCTTGCTCTGCTGGCGCAGACCTGCTCCCAGATCGGCAAACCGGACCCGCCGCCCTCCTCCAAACTATCTTCCGTGACTTCGAACGGATCTAGCGAGAAGGAATCTAAATCGGGCCCTTTAAAGCTCAGCGACATCGGCGTGGACGACAAGTCCAGCTTCAAGCCCTACTCCAAACCCGCGGACAAGAAGGACTCGTCTTCGGGCGGAGAAAAGTCGGGTTTCCGAGTGCCGAGCGCCACCTGCCAGCCGTTCACGCCGCGGACGGGCAGCCCCAACTCCAGCACCTCCGCCTCCCCCATGCCCACGGAGGGGAAGTGCGGGGAGAGGGACGACAAGAAAGAGTCCGATTGCAACAAAAACGGCACCGCGGACGGCTCTGGCACCACGAGCCACAGCAGGATAAGCGTGAGTTGCGGTGGGATTAACGTGGAGGTCAACCAGCACCAGGAGGCGACGCCTGGCACCAAGACCTCCTCCTCCTCCTCCTCCTCTTCCTCGGAGTCCTCATCTGTGACTTCTGTCTCCTCCGCGTCCGTTCTGGGTTCTGGACTCGTGGCGCCGGTTTCCCCCTATAAACCCGGACAGACTGTGTTCCCTTTGCCCCCCGCTGGCATGACCTACCCGGGCAGCTTGGCTGGGGCCTACGCGGGTTACCCCCAGCACTTCCTGCCCCACGGAGGGAGCTTGGTAAACGCACAGCTGGCTAGCTCTCTGGGCTGCAGCAAGGCCGGCTCGAGCCCCTTGGCGGGGGCTTCTCCTCCCTCCATCATGTCAGCCAGCCTGTGCAGAGACCCGTACTGCCTCAGCTACCACTGTGCCAGCCACTTAGCGGGCGCAGCCGGCGCCTCGTGCACGCACGACTCCGCGGCTGCAGCCGCCGCCGCCAGCGCCCTCAAGTCCAGCTACCCCCTCATGTACCCGACCCACTCGATCCACGGCGTGCACTCCTCCGCGCCGTCGTTCAGCGGACACCCCCTGTACCCGTACGGCTTCATGCTCCCCAACGACCCTCTGCCCCACGTTTGTAACTGGGTGTCGGCGAACGGACCGTGCGACAAGCGCTTCTCCTCCTCGGAGGAGCTCCTGAACCACCTGAGGACACACACCGCTTTCACCGGGGCCGAGAAGCTCATGTCCGGCTACCCCGGGTCCTCGTCGCTGGCCAGCGCCGCGGCAGCGGCCATGGCCTGCCACATGCACATGCCACCGTCAGGAGCCCCAGGGAGCCCCGGGACCTTGGCTCTAAGGAGCCCGCATCACGCGTTAGGACTCAGCAGCCGCTACCACCCTTACTCCAAAAGCCCCCTGCCCACCCCTGGCGCCCCCGTCCCCGTCCCCGCAGCCACCGGGCCCTACTACTCCCCTTACGCACTGTACGGCCAGAGACTCACCACAGCCTCAGCGCTGGGATACCAGTGAGGGGGCGGAAAAAGAGGTTTATAGAACTAAGAATGCAAATATAAAGTCTTTTATAATAACTGCGCTAAACTTATGGACGGGATCCGTGGACTTGAACCGTATTTATTTATATGTCAGCTTAAAAGCAGGTAACAGCTGCATATTATGGAACATATTTGAGCAACTCAAAAAGTGCATTATGTTGAAACTGAACTCTATAGGTAAAACGAACACACACACACACATGCACACAGACACACACGTTAGGATACTAATGAAAGTAGGGATCTTCATTTCGATGTTCATTTGAAAATTGCTCTGATTGTATTTGTTCTTATTTAATGTCCCATTGAGAAGGAAAAAAAATAATTTACATGCATGTCTGTTTTCTTAAAATTTCAAAAAACAACTGTTCACATTTAAAATGGCCGTTATTTTTCAGCTGTACCAGATGGAGAGAGAATTGGTATTTTTTTGTATGTATTCAGGAGAAAAAAAAAAGAAGAAATGAAAACAGAGTGCTGTTCCATAGTTTTTGTGTGCCTCTTTTTCTTGAGTGTCAACACTTGTCACCTTGAGGAAACAGCTAGATGTGTCCTCTATTGACATTTTTTATTGATCTGTTTGATGATTGGGGTTTGAAAAAAGAAACTTATTTAATCATTTTCAGGCCTATAGATTTTCTGACTGTCAGTTAATTCTTTTTTTTTTTTAGTTTTGAGACGTTTCATTCAGAAAGTAGAGCTCAACTAAAAGTTGGAACCGTGTGTGTGTGTGTGTGTGTGTGTGTGTGTGTGTGTGT